TTTTCCCTAATTTCACCCCTTTTCCCCTAATTTCACCCCTTTTCCCCTAATTTCACCCCTTTTCCACTAATTTCACTCCTTTTTCTCGGCTCTCCTCTCCCTGTTCCTGCAGCCATATGCCTGGCAGTGCGCAGTTAAATTATGCTGGGACTGGCAGACGTGGTGGTCGCAGGCAGAAGTTAGCCATTCCTGTATTGGCAGACGCGGTAGTGGTGACAGGTAGACATTACATTGCTGGACCTAATAGACATTACATTGCTCCCTTCTGCGCTCCCCACTGCCTGCCTGCAGCCATATGCCTGGCAGCGCAGGCCATCATGCTGGGGCTGGCAGACGTGGTGGTGGCAGGCGGCATGGAGAGCATGAGCAACGCGCCTTACTACCTCAATAAGGCCAGGTGAGCCTGCACTGGCACGCCTTAGAAGACAAGGTGAGCAATATACACCTTCAGTCAAGGTGAAAAACGCGCCTTACTACCTCAATAAGGCCAGGTGAGCCTACACGTACACGCCTTAGACGGCAAGGTGAGCAATATACACCTCTATGCACGGGGAGATGGTGGATGGGGTGCAGAGGGACAGGCTGAGAGGTGCATACTCAGACATCTCTTCATGCAACGTTGGGCGGGGGCAGCAGGACGAGAGTCTAACGTTGTCTGAGTAGGGACATCTCACATTTTCCCTCTTCCTCCCTCACTTCCCTGCTGCAAGAGCATGGCGTTGGGCGGGGGCAGCAGGACGAGAGTCTAACGTTGCATTAACCCGTGCTTCCTCCCTCCACCTCCAGCCCTTCTCCTCTCCCCCCACCTTCCCCCTGCTTTGTCCCAACCCCAACCCCCACTTTCCCATGGCATGCAAAACAGGAGTGGGTACCGGTTCGGGCATGGGGAGATGGTGGACGGGGTGCAGAGGGACGGGCTCAGCGACGCGTATTCAGAGGACCCCATGGGGTGTTTCGCAGAGCAGTGTGCGGAGGAGCAGGGCATAGCGCGGGAGCAGCAGGACGAGCATGCCACGGCTACACACGAGAGGGCTGCTGCTGCCAATGCTGATGGCGCTTTTGACTGGGAAATCGTGCCTGTGCGTGAGTGGGTGGGAGGGGTGGGACTGAAGGAGGGATAGTGTGCGAGAGTGCGTGAGTGGATGGGGGGTTATTGGTGGTGAAGAAAGGTATAAGTGTGATGCCAAGGAAAATGTCTGCTGCTGCCCACGCTGTAATTGCGTTTAATAGGAAAATCGTGCCTGTGCGCGAGTGGGTTGGGGGAGGGTAGGGGGTGGGAGAGAGTGAATGAGGGAGGGATGTGCTTTTCAGAGCAGTGTGCGGAGGAGCAGGGATAGCGCGGGAGCAGCAGGACGAGCATGCCACGGCCACACACGAGAGGGCTGCTGCTGCCCATGCTGACGGCGCTTTTGACTGGGAGATCGTGCCTGTGCGTGAGTGGGAGAGGGGGAGTGAAGTGGGGAGTGTGTGAGGGAGAGTGCGAGGGACCGCTGCTGCTTATTACAATTTTGATCCTTCCTCCCCACCCAACCTCCTATACCCCCTTCCCCCTCACCCCCTATACCTCCCCTCCACTGCGTCGCTTTTGAGAATTCTCAAAACCCCCTCACCCCCTATACCTCCCCTCCCCTGCTTTCCATGCCTCAGGTGGAGGTGAAGGCATCAAAGGGAAAGCAGACGATTCTTGTTGAAAGGGACGAACCATGCGCCAAGGTAGGTCTTCGAGAACGGAATCGCTGTTGATAATTCTCAAAATCGATTTCGGGAACAGATATTCGGGGTGTTTGGTGTGTGGAAGGGCGAATGGTGGGGTCTTTGCTTCACTCCTCTGCCTGGCTGGCGTTTCTCCCCTATCCCTTCATTCCTCCCAATGCTTGCCACAAAATTTGACTCAGGTGCATTTACGCTTTTGAGACGTCTCAAAAGTCGTCAGGAGCGTTTACACTGGTGGAGTCTACCCACCACACCAACCGCCCTCCCTCCCTCTCTCCCTCCCTCCCTCCCTCCCTCTGCTCGCCTCCTGTGCGTCTCTATTTCTCTTTCCCACGGCCAGTTTGACGCCAACAAGCTTCGCTTGCTGCGCCCTTGCTTCAAGGAGAACGGCACCGTCACAGCTGGCAACGCCTCAGCCATCAGGTACGCCAGCTGGCAACGCCTCAGCCATCAGGTACGCCAGCTGGCAACGCCTCAGCCATTAGGTACGCCAGCTGGCATCACCTCTGAATTGAACTCAGTCCTTATTAAAAAAAAAAAAAAAAAAAAAAAAAAAAAAAAAAAAAAAAAAAAAAAAAAAAACGTAATCATGACAGTAAATATGCTTCCATCTCCGTCCTTTTTGGTCTCCCTTCCTCCTCAGACCAATTTACCTCTCCCCTCTTTCCTTCCACTCCTTCTCCACTCCTCTTCATTCCTCTTCCAGTCTTTCTGAAACAATCACCCTTCAAGAACGGTGTTAAAGCCTCATTGAATGAAACAGCACAACCAGCTCCCATGCACTGAATTGAACGCATAATATTGCACACATGACCAAAGCACACCTCCCCTTCCCCTATCCTCCTTTCCCCATCTCCCCTCCCCCGATCCGCCCCTCGTCTTCCCCATCTTTCCACCAGCGATGGGGCAGCAGCAGTGGTGTTGGCAAGCCGGCAGGCGGCCAGGCAGCACGGGCTGAACGTGTTAGCAGTGCTGCGAGGCTTTGGGGACGCGGAGCAAGCACCCAGCCGCTTCACCACAGCGCCCGCCCTCGCAGTGCCTGTGGCTCTCAAGCATGCGGGGGTGGAACAAAGCGATGTGGATTACTGGGAGATCAACGAAGCCTTCTCAGTGAGTTTTGAGAGTGATCCCTCAGTATTCTCGCCACACACTGCTGTCAATCGCATGATTAGCCTCGAGGGTCGCCCTCGCAGTGCCAGTGGCTCTCAAGCATGCGGGGGTGCAGCAGGACGAGGTCGACTACTGGGAGATCAACGAAGCCTTTTCTGTGAGTTTCTGGGCTGCTATTCTGGCGCCCCGAAAGGCTCACGTGTGGGAGCAATCAAGTGCTGCCAGTGTTTGCAGCGCGCGCAGTGCTTGCGGTGGTGGTAGTGTTTGCAGTGTTGATACTCTTTGCAGTGTTGGCAGCACTTCACCACACTTCGGCCTTCTCACAAGCCCCACACCCGCATCCGCCACGTCAGGTGGTGGCTCTGGCGAACCACAAGCTGCTGGGTATTCCCGAGGGGCGCCTGAACACGCATGGGGGGGCAGTGGCCCTGGACCATGCAGACTGAATCGTTCCTTACCGTAATCCACCGCACTTCACCCTCCTCGCCTGCATCACACCCCCTTTCCTATACTCCAGGTGGTGGCTCTGGCGAATCAGAAGCTGCTGGGTATTCCCGAGGGGCGTCTGAACGTGCATGGGGGGGCGGTGGCGCTGGGGCATCCCCTGGGGAGCAGTGGGGCTCGCATTGTGGTCACGCTGCTGGGCGTGCTGAGGAAGCATGAGGGGCGCCTGGGAGTGGCTGCTGTGTGCAATGGCGGTGGCGGCGCTTCCGCATTGGTTGTCCAAGCCGAGTGAGTACGGTTTGTGGGACTAGTCACAAGCGACTCGAGGTTACTTTTGAGTTGACTCAAAAGTCACCTTGCTTCCACCCTGGTTGTCCCAGCAGAGTGAGTATGATTTGTGGGACTTGGCAGAAGCGACTTGCCTTTGGCTGCCCTGGAGTCGCTGCTGTGTGCAATGGGGGGGGTTGGTGCTTCTGCCCTGGTTGTCCAAGCAGAGCGAGTAGCAGTTTATGAGAGTGCTTGAAAGCTGGCTCTTGTTTGGCTGAGTGAATAGCCGAGTGACTGCAGACTCATGCCTAGCCACCTGAGAGTCGCTGCAGCGTGCCATGGGGGGAATGGCACTTCCACGTAGAGAGAGAGAGAGAGAGAGAGTGGTTATCCAGTGTGGTTTATGGTAAGGCAGACGGTTTAGGGTTGTATGGTTGAGTTGGAACTTTGCCTCTTTCCCTCATTGCTTGCTTTCCGATAGCTGTTTTTCCATGTTCATGGGGGTTTCTTCCACTCCTACATATGTTTGTGCTTCCCGCTTATTGCATTGGCAGGTCTCTGGACTCATCCACATGCCATGCTCACTTGTAGCATGGTTTTTTCCCAGAGTGATGGTAGTTTTACGCGCATGCTTGCTCGAACTGTTGGATGGATACATGCTGTACAGGAAACGTGTGTGTTACTACTAGTTAGCCAGTTAACCCTGATTTGGGTTTTAGTTAATGATTTTGTTTTGTCTTTTTCTGTGCCTACGCTGATTCATCCTTCTTCTGCAACTGCTCATGCTGATCTTTCAGCTGTATACAGACAGAGTTTCCAGTCTCCTTCAGTGAAGTATGCGAGGCTATCCCACCACACAAAAAAACAAGAAGAAAACATCAGTGGTGGCACACACAATATGGCAGCAGTGTGGTTGATGATACCAAGCAATTCGTGATTTTCACTTGCTTTATGCTCCATTATAAGAAGCCAAATATACACGCACGACGCGACACGCTTATTCAAACAACCCGCTTGGCCATGCCATGACATGGATGGATGGCAGGAGCACATTTACTAACAAATCATTGCACGGGGAGCAGTTCCCTTTATTGGTACTACCACACTAGGATCCAACCTGAGCATAGCTCCAGAGGGTAGACAGACACATTGGCTGCAGGAAGGAAGGCATCGGAGTCCTCTTGAGATGCCTGACTCGATCCTTTAGCCTTATTTGGAAAGAGGTTGCACCGCCAGCACCGACCGCACCACATGGCCATACTGGTCCTTCCATGTCAGGCTTCCGAATTGGAAATCAGGAGATGCCTTCGTGACTGTGAACCTGATAGTGAATGTTACAACCCGCATTGGAGGGATTGTGAATTTATTTGGACTTACAACTGTAGTAACACCAGGCGGTGTAACGATAGTCGAAGTGTAGCTGGATACTGGATTCGCGACGTTCTGCACCGTTCGCGATACCAGCACCGTTTTTTTCAGCCGCGAAACCGAAATCGTCGGGCGGTTCAGATTGTACGCCGGAATCGGGGACATCTTCGTTCCGATTGGCACGGAACTCTTGGCGCTCAGCAGATTCTGCCCGGCAAGAAAATTGTAATAATCCGCAGCATTGGCGGGAAAAGTGAGCCCAGGATCCATCAGACCGTTGGGATTGACGTGTCCCGCTCCCATATCCCACGGCGTCGCTTTGTTTCGAGTCAAACCCGCAACGACCGACCCGTTTTTAGTATTAGTCACGCTCGCTGTAGTCATAATCGCGGACATGATTTGCGACGGCGACCAAGCAGGGTATCTTTCGACGAGCAGCGCCGCGATTCCCGCCAAGTGCGGAGTAGCCATGGAGGTTCCGCTAAGCATGGCGTAAGCCGGGGTAGAAGCAGATGCGAGAGACGAGGACGGCGCAGCGGCCCATAGGGAAACGCCGGGACCGATTACATCGGGCTTTAAGATGTCGTTGGTGGGGAAAGCGAGCTTGGTTGCAGTAGCGGGGTTGATGAGCGGACCAGAAGAAGAAAAATACGCGACCTCTGGCGCTTGATCGGTGGTTAGGTCCGTCTTGAAGGTGTAGGCGAAGGATGCAGTCGGACTGGCGGAGGGGAGCGCGAGGGGGGGAGGGAAAATGGGTAGAATATGGGTAAAAACTAGTGAGTCAGAAGAAATGAAAGAGATTTTCAAGGCTTGATAGGTGGTTAGGTCCGTCTTGAAGGTGTAGGCGAAGGATGCAGTCGGGCTGGCAGAGGGGGAAGCGATAGGAGAGGGGGGAGAGCGAGACGGAGGAGACGGGGAGTGGGTAAGGGACGGGAAAAAACTCCATAAGTGACTTTGAGGGATTGATTGGTGTATTGGAAGCTGTCAGGCTGGTGGAAGGGAGAGTTTTTTGCGTCGACTCAAATAAAGAAGCTCGTGAGTCAAAGGAGAAAAAGCCACTTTGAGGGATTGATTGGTGTATTGGAAGCTGTCAGGCTGGTGAAGGGGAGAGGGAGAGGGAGTGGAAGAGAGGGTTGGAAGGGAACGGGAGAAGGGGCAAGAGGAGAGTTGGGGGAAGGCGGGAAGGGGGAAGTAGGGACCGGAGGTGTGAGATTATGCTGTGTGTGCTGTGGAAGTCGTGTGAGGAGGGGACAACCCTTGCTATAGCAGGAAGTGAGTGTAATAACCCCTCACTTGACAATGGTGCAGGTGTACGTGCGCAAAACACCCGTCTTGCTTGCCTCTGCTCCAATGACAGGCAGCTGAGACTGGAGTGGGATACGGTCTTGCTGCTGCTGCCACATCCACCACAACACCAACCAGGTTCCCTGCTTAGATTCAGCCCCAGACAGAGAGTGTAGTTACCCCTCACCTGGCAGCGGTGCGGGTGTACGCGTGCAGAACACCCGTCTCGCTCGCCTCCGCTCCCATCGCCAGCAGCCGAGACGTATAAATCGGGTACGGTCTCGCTGCTACAGGCACATCCACCACAATCACCGCACTGCCGCCCTTCTCAGCGACCTCTATTGCCTTGCTGCTGGCGCTGGTCCATCCATACGAGCACAGTACGATCTTCCCTGAGACCTTGGTGGGATCCAGTGAGTCTTCCGCACAGTACTGGCCCTGAAGGGTGGGGGAGCAAAGGGGAGGGAATGGGGATGGATCAGGGTGGATTGCTTGCTTCTGCTGCTGCTGCAATCCCCTCCACCAGTCCCAATCCCTGCACCGGCACATTCCCCGAGCCAAACCCGTACAGCTTCACAAGTCACGCCTCACAAGCCACGGCCCTTGTCTGAATGCCACAAAGCCCGTTGCTTCTTCACGCTCACCTCCGTCTCAGTCTTCCCGGCTGCCCGCGCTGCAACGCCCTCCAACAGGCCCAATCCCTGCACCGGCACATTCCCCGAGCCAAACCCGTACAGCTTCACGACCCGCCCGTCGCCCAGCGTGGCTGCCGACACATAGCTGCGAGCGATGGTGCTGCAGGGAGGGAGAGGACGGGAGGGGGGAACGGGGAAAGGGGGGAAAGACATTGAGGCGATAAAGCCGTACAGCTTCACGACCTGCCCGTCGCCCAGCATGGATGCTGACACCTAGCTGCGAGCGATGGTGCTGCAGGGTGGGGGAAGGGGAGCGGGAAAGGGGGAAGGGAGGGAAAATAAGTTGGGACCCGAGGCCACAAAGCCGTACAGCTTCACAACCCGCCCGTCACGTCGCCAAGCGTGGTCGAAGAGACGACTTTTGTGGTTAGGAGGGGTCGAAGAGACGACTCAAAAGTCACCACAAAGCCGTACGGCTTCACAACCTGCCCGTCACGTCGCCAAGCGTGGCCAAAGAGACGTAACTGCGAGCGATGGTACTGCAGGGCGGGAGAGGGAAAGGAGAGGAGGGGGAGGAGGGAGGGCGGAAGAATGATGAGACCTGAAGCCAGAAAAGAATTTCATGGCAAGCAGCACTACTTTCTGAACGTTCTGCGCTGCTACATATTGTTTTTGAGAATTCTCAAAAACTTTCTGCACTGCTACATTCCCCCAGCACCTGGGAACCCACCTGGCGCCAACAGTGAGGTAGAACGGTGAGAAGTTGGAGATGCTGCAATACATTGAAGGATTCAAGGGAGGGGGACCAGAGTTCCCAGCTGCATACACCACCACTGTGCTGGCCAGATTTGCGTATAAATACGTCTGATTGCTGAAATACGTGGCACTGGGGTCTGCGCCGCCTAGGGAGAGCGAGGTGACGTCAACCCCGTCAGCTTCTGAAGACACTTACCACTCACCTGGCACCAACAGAAAACCACCTGGAAACCCACCTGGCGCCAACAGTGAGGTAGAATGGCGAGAAGTTGGAGATGCTGCGATACATTGATGAGGTGAGAGGAGGCGGACCGGAATTCCCCGCTGCATAAACCACCACTGTGCCGGCCAGATTCGCGTATAAATACGGCAGATCGCTGAAATACGTGGCACTGGGGTCTGCGCCGCCCAGAGAGAGCGAGATGACGTCAACCCCGTCAGCGACAGCCGCGTTGACTGCTGCCTCCACGTCAGCATACGTGGCAGTGATCCCACCGCCCGTGACTGAGTTCCCCCAGAAGACCTTGTAAGCTGCGAGGAAGGCCCGGGGTGCCATGCCTGTGGCGTTCCCGAGGTTTATATTGCGGGGAGATAGCACCACGGGGACATTGCTGTTGCCCGCTGCCGCTCTGCATTATTGGGTGGAGCAGAGGGGTGGGAGAGGCAGGCAAATGGGGTTAACCAGAGGTAGCACCACGGGCACGTTGCTGTTGCCCGCTGCCGCTCTGCATCATTCGGAGAGCACGAAGAGGGGAGGGAAGAAGTTCAAACGCGTTTGGTACTTGAGCCTTATTGGGGAAAGCTGAAGGAAGAAAGACAAAAACATGGGAAAGCTGAAGGAAGAAAGACAAAAACATGATGGATCATGAGACTAAGAGGAAGGCCCCGGGGGGCGGGACGCCCGATCATGCCAGTGGTGGTGCCGGCATGTGCCTTTCTAGGAGGAACTTCACACAGAAAAGGCAAAAAAGAGTTACATTCGTGATGGTCTTTCAGAGTATTGTAGCGGAAAGCAAGAGGCAAGAGAGCGAGAGGCATGGGGGTATCGATCACTCGCGCTGCACACAAGGTGCTATTTTGGCCAACAGCCAAGACGACTGGGCGAGGCGAGCACACAAGGTGCTATTCTGGCCGACAGCCTTTTGAGGCGCCTCAAAAGCCGACAGCCAAGAAGACTGGGCGAGCACACCAGGTGCTATTCTGGCCGACTCAAAAGTCACCATGGAAAGCACGAAAGGGGGAGGCAAGGCAAGGGGGTGTGGATAGAACACTCACGCTGCACACCAGCTGCCGTGTCCATTTGCATCCCGAGCTGACGTCCAATCAGCGCTCGTGTCTTCCTGCCCGAACCACATCCGGAACCCCGCGTTGAAAATTTTCGCGCCAATCACCTTTCTGTTGCACTTGAAATCAGATGTCACCTGACAGGTGCCTCTCCAGGTAGACGGAGGGTTAGGGTACGGCAGGTCAGGTGGACTGACATTCGAGGAAAATGAAGGGTGTTCCGGCCAAATACCCGTGTCGACTATTCCGATCACTACGCCTTCTCCTGCCCGCTCGCGGCCCCGGGCAGACCAGAGAGTCCCGGGCAGGTTAAGAAAGTTTGCAGAGTCGGTGGTGAGCTTGCTGATTCGGTAGTTGGATTTGACTTCCGCAACTGCTGGGTGGCGCTTCAGCTGCTGCAGCTGCTTAGGCGTCAAACGCGCCACAAAGGCATTGCTGACGTGTTTGAACCTGAGGAGGGGGAGAAAGCGGGCAGAAAAAAAGGGGCGATGAGCTGGCAAAGGGAGAGGTTTGGAGAATCAAGTGGAGCCATCGGCGTCGCAAGTTGGAATGTGGTGTTCATGGCGGGTCAGGGGTCAAAATGGAAAGAGGAGGAAGAAAACGACGAAAACAAAAACGAATAATTCGTATGCATGTAAAGAATTTGCTTCAAATGTGTGACAGGTGTTACAAACTCACTTGTACAGTACATTCGCGCGCGGCAGGCGCACGTCATTCGCAACTCCATCCTGCAGCCGATCGAGCCACTGCTTGAACTGTGCGACTGCTGGCGACCCCAGGTTCAGTCGCGTCGATTGGCGGTTCGCTCGGCGACGCCCCCTGCGAATCTGTCCAACCACCGAATTGATGACGTCAGACACAGAGTCTCTGACAGCCTCTGCTGCCGTGGCGGCAATCCCGTTGATTCCGCCGGTGTATCCCGCGATTGGCGGGGCGGCGCGGAGGCGAACGATGTACACGTCAGATACGGCGGACGGGATAACCTTGTCGACTGGTTGGTCCAGTAGCGGGATTTCCGGCGCAGTTTCAGGTGAGATTTCAGGTGTGCGCGGCTGCGCAGCTTCTGAGGCGTCGTTTTGCGATGGTTGCTGGGGCTCCAAGACGATTTCTGATAAGTCAGCTGCGAAGGAGCCAAGGCTTGGAGTAAGAAAAAAAGGCATATGGGAAACTCTTCAATCGCATTGGAAAAGCTCTCACCTTCTTGAGCATAAACGAGGCTGTTATTGGCGAGGATAAGCAATCCAAGCAGAAAGCCCACGCCGACCCGTGACTGGGACACGGAGCGACATCGACGAAACTTCATCGCACGCTCTCCTCGTTTGGGAACGTTCCGAACCAGCTCCTTCAGAAGCGCCTCAGGGGAAACCTACCGTACCTCCTACGAAATCTTGCGAATTCACTCCCTGGTTACTACGTTACAGGTATGGTGGTGGAGATGATACGAAGAGCAGTCCTATAACGGAAGGAGAGTGTCGAATAAATGTCATGGACTTAATTTAGATGAAACGACGGACGTAACGCCAGTGAACAAAGCGTGAGCGAGAATCAGAAGCCGCGCCGTTATGCTGGAGCTGGATTAAGTTAGGGTTCGGTAAAATCGCTTCTTAGAACATGTGTCATATGCTTCTAGTACCAACTACGCAATGACGTGAAATATCACGTGGCTCTTCGCTTGCGTCGCCGCCGATAACGATTTTCGTTCCTTCCAGCAACGCGCATTCGACAGACGAGTCCAGACATTGCCAGTACTACTATAGTAGTCAAGAAGCACGTTCCTTCGAGGCGGCGCATTCCGCCAGCCTAGTTGCGAGGTGCTGCCAGCTAAGGTGCTGCGCTGATCTCCCGCGACGGGCGTCTGCGGGAAACCTCCAGCTCCGCTGCCCCGTTGCGGCAGAACTACTATTTTAGAGGAGGTTCTGCCGCAAGGGGGACCCGTATCGGCACACTTAGGACGCGTCCCCTCTAGCGGATTAGAGGAGGTTCGGCGGTTGACACCGGAGCCCACCCTCGAATCTTTGGGTGACAGGTTCAGAGACATACATCCTGGCACTTACGGCGCGAGATCGAACATACCGTGCCCACAAATCCCAGATCGGAGTGTCCACGACGACACACCGACCGTCAAAGTTGGGAGGTAACAAGATCGTAGGGGCAGGATAACTGTAGCGTCGCTAATATCAACGAACTGAAGTAACCCTTCCTGACGAAGCTACAAAGCGACAGTAACATCCCGAGATCGATCCGTCTCGGGATCGATTCACTAGAGAGGACACTTTGGGACTAGAGAGGCGCAGGTGTAATGCGCAAACTAGTGTGGGGAAGGGGAAATTTTCCCTCTCCCCTATCCATCCCCTTCCTGTCTCGCCCGAATATCAATTCTACCTTCCCCAAACCTGCCTGGCTGTGCGCACTGCGCACACCCTCACGCATCCTCACTTGCTTGCACAGCGCGGCCATTTGCTGCGCTTCGACTGCCCGTGGCAACTGTGGGGTGGCGAACGAGTGACGAAGCGAAACGATCTGCCTGTAAACCGATTTTCGTTTCAGAAATCCTCGTCGTTGGCTTCAGAGTCCTAATGGTAACCAGCTTTAATTTCGTCATACACGTAATGGTTACCAGCAGGCAACCACTATGACGGCCACCAACAGTTGATCGATCCGTTTTTTTTTTTTTTTTTTTTTTTTTTTTTTTTTTTTTTTTTTTTTTTTTTTTTTTTTGCAGGAGGTGAAATTGCATTATACAACGCTAAAAACACCACCCATCGGTTGATAGATCCGTGCAGAGCAGGTGCTCATGACGATTTTAGTCAATTTAGCTGCCAGGCCGTGTAACAGTTGTCGATAGTTCTGGTTGACAGAGGTGCTTCCTCCAAGGAAAAACCCTTTTTCCTTAGTGGGGTTTACTCAACCGCGTACAATATGCATGAGCAGAGTACCGAACCGGGCCGGTTCGATACTGTTTCGCTCATAACCGAACCGGTTCGTAACCGAACCGGTACGGTTCGTTCTGAACCGGCCTGCTGCGGTTTCGGTTCTTGGTTCGATATTTGGCTACGAGTACCGAACCGGTTCGGCTCGTTAAAGGGCGGTTCGATAAGATTCGAACCGGTTCGGTTAGGAGAGATCTATGTATGCAAAATTTCCGGTTGAAGTAGTAACAAGGGTTAAACCTGTAGCCACGCCATGACACAATATTTTCCAACATTCCAAGCACAAAAAAAAAACAAGAGTTTAGTGAATGTAGCATATTCTTACTGAAAATAAACACTATATGGTAATTTTACAACCGTTTACACTTTTTTTGTCACAACTACGCGGCTCGTAAAAAATGTGTGAACGAACCGGACGAACCTGCGAACCAGTTCGCCCATGCACCGGCCCGGACTGTTTCGAACCACTACATTCGAAATCTCTTAAAATTCGGTTCGTAACGAGCTGAACCTGACCGAATGGAACTTCAATTCGGGGGTTTGCTCATGCATAGCGTACAACCCTAACTTTCGGAAGTGCACGTTCGGCCGCTTTGCTTGCTGCCGAAGCAACCTAGCATCGCCTTCGGTTTTCCTTTGCCCAACCTGCACCCAAAATCGTGTTTCCGAGGTTCCCGCCTACCTAGGTTGACCTGCTATATAATCGCGTGTCTTTTCACTGTATCGTCTGTTCATTTAGTCACAAGCTTCGTTATTCGTTTTCCGCGCAACTCTGATTGAGAACTCATAACACCTGATATCAAAGCTATTTTCCCAGTTCACCCCGCTTTTCGAGGGTAGTTTATGGGCACGGGAGTGGCTCATACGTTGGGCTGCAGAGTGATTGGCTGCAAAGTTTATAAAATGAACTTGCCCGACTCCGATAGCTTTTGCGCTTGCACTGTTGCCACCTAGTCACGGATACCCAGTTGCCCACTAGACGTAGCTTGCGACACATGGAACATGCGGCATTTAACACGTTGATGCAGCAAGTGGCAGAGATGTCGGCAGGCATGATGGCGTTAACGACAGAGATAGAGAGACTACGTGAAGAAAACAACGAGCTACGCCAGGCGCGAGGTGAAGCGCGCCAGGAGTCGCCCGCTGAAGAAGGCGAGAGCACTGGCCAAGCGATGAGCGGCAATCTATTGGACGAGCTCACCCGAGGCTTCGAAGAAAAAGATAGGCAGCAAGCGGCGCCAGCGACGACAGTTGCAGTAACGACAATCAAGATTAAACCCACGAGTCCGCCCCTGTTCAACCATACGGACAAGAATACTATAGTTAAGGGGTGGCTCTTCGGCGTTGAAGTCTTCTTTGCAGCGAATGTCAACGATGATGCCACGCGTATTAATTACGCGGTATCACTTCTACGAGGCCCGACGCTTGAGTGGTGGCAACGAACCTTGGACACGGGGACCCCGACAGGTGTGACACATGCGGCAGACGGGACTTCGGACTCTGCAAATGGGAGGGCATTATCAATATTCGTTATGGCCACAATTCGCACGTGGAAACAGTGGGGCTAAGCCTTGGGAGAGCGTTTCGAGCATGTATCCGCCTCGGAACACGCTCGCATGAAATTGGTGTACCTAGTCGCAGTTGGCATCAGTCCAAGACTACACGGCGTTGTTTATGGCACTCACGAATCAAGTGGACGACATGGCAGAAGCGGAGCGGCTCGACAAATACATTAGCGGTCTCAAATACGAGATACAGTACGAGGTGCGCAGAGCCGTCCATCTACATTCAACAAAGCCGTCTAATTGGCCGAGAGCACAGACGCGCTGATGCAGTGGGCGAGATCGAGTTTTCGGGAAGGAAACTGGTTTTGTGGATAGACTTAGCGAGCCATGATTAACGGAGTCCATGCGCCAGACCGCCCTTTTACAGGGTTGTGTTTTCAGTAGGAGAAGCCGGGTCACATGTATAAAGACTGCCCCGACAGGACCTAGGGAAAGAGGAACGACGCGAAAGAGCCGGGAAATGGGAAGAGTCAGTAACAGACGGGCTCCTTATGGACTGTGCTCTGTCGCCCGAACCCCACCATCCCCACCAAGTCGTGGTTCCGATTCATGCAATCGATCGCACTCGGACGAATAACGGGGATAATCACGTGGATCACCCTGTGCTGGTTGTTGGCACGGTTGTTAAGAAAAAAAATGTTCGTCGATGGCTTGGCTAGCCATAGTCTCTTCAATCTGGCGACAACAAAAAAAATTGAAGTTACCTCTTGACAGGTGTCTGCCCGAAATTGACGCTCGCCTCGTGGATGGGACGCCTCTGGCGATTTTGGAGGAAACACGGACGGCGCAGATTGAGTGCGGCAACAATTTCAGCTTCAGCATGAAGTTTTTCGCAAACTGCTCCTGGGACGCGATTGGTTGCGACGTCACAACCCGATAATCGACTGGACGACGGGCTCGTGCAGCATCAGCAAGCACGAGGGGCTGATTACTCTGCCCGCGTGGACACCATCGCGACAACATGCGTCAAGGCGATATGCATCACACGTCACTTCAACAAGGGAGCGCAGCTATACGCCGTTCATCTGCGCGATTTGGCAGCCGACACGGATGGAAACGACATCGACGATTTGTATGCAGCTGTACCACCCGAGCTGGTGCAACTGATTCGACAATATCCCGATATTTTCCCAGACGACCTGCCACCTGGACTACCACCCGGACTACCACCCGAACGCCCCGAGGACCACAGAATCACCATCGAGCTCGGCGCGCAACCGACTATTTGTACATAGTGGCGACTGACTCAGCCCGAACTCGCAGAGCTTCGGAGTCAACTTGAGTCACTGTTGGAGAAGGGTGGCGCGACGAAGGGTGAAGTACCCTCCTGTTCACATCGAAGAAGGACGGCGGCATTCCCATGTGCATCGACTATCGCACGCTCAACCGGGTTACCATCAAATCTCGCTATCCCATCCCACGCACCGACGACCTCCTCGACCAACTTCGCGGCGCTCGCTACTTCTCGAAAATTGACCTACGCGACAGTTACTACCAGATCAGGGTCTTCGCTGACGACTGTCACAAGACCGCCTTCCGAACCCGCTACGGCAGTTACGAGTTCACCGTGATGCCTTTCGGCCTCACGAACGCGCCTTCGACATTTCAACTGACCATGAACAGGGTTTTTCGCGATCTTCTCGACAAGTATGTTATCGTCTACTTGGACGATACTTTGATTTTTAGAAGGACATGCGAGCAGCACCTTCGCGACCTTAACGAAGTGTTTAAACGACTACAAGACAACCAGCTCATCACTAAAGGCTCTAAGTGTGAGCTCTTTAAGTAGGAGTTGGAGTTTTGGGGGC